GCCGAGTGTGCACACATGGCTGCCCTAGATCCCAGCTCTGCAGCTCCCTCGGGAGGGAAGGAAGGGAGAAGATAGGTGTGGCAGCACGGCTTGGGCACATACTATTAGCTGAGGTCACATCCAGATGGATGGAAAAGCCCCTCGGCCCAAAAGTCCCCTGGCCCAATCTGCTCCCCCAGATCCATTCCTGCAGCGGGTCCCCCAGGCTCAGCTTAGTGAGGGGGCCAGACAGAAGCCTGTCCTTCCTGTGAGGCCTCCCTTACTCCGAGGAGGAGGACACAAGGCAGAAGAGGGATTAGGGGAAAAATAGCCCCAAATGTGAGACTTCACTGTTTCCTAAAGAAAAAAATAGGACTATCGAGCTATGTAGGAATGAAAACATCATAATTATGTAATTAGTTTTAGTCTCTCCCTTTTTTCTTCTCCTTTGAAGACCTAGGTCAGTGTTTTTTAGAAAAATTCCCAAGTACTTAGTGACGAAAAGTCTTATTTTGGCTGAAAACACACAGAGAAAGCTATAGTAATGTGAGCTTTGTAGATTAAGGACAAAGATATTTATTGTGACTCCTTTCATGCAAAAGATTGGAAATTTGTCCTATTTTGGAGAGACTTAAAAATAGCTTTCCAGGGTCTGGAGAAGGAGCCAATGGAGGCTGCTCTCAGGCCGGGGAGTTTCCTGTTGCAATGATGAAAATATCCTGGAGGTAAGTGGTGATTCTGACTGTACAACACTGCGAAGTACTTGATGACATGTTGAATTGTACACTTTTAAATCAAAATGGTAGGGCTAGGGATTTAGCTCAGTGGTTCCACTGCCTGTCTCGCAAGCACAAGGTCCTGAGTTCAATCCCCAGTACAAAAAAAGAGAAAAAAAAAAATCATAAATGATGAAATAAAAAAATACTTTTATTGTGATGTAATTCATATACTATGTTATGTTATTGTGTAAAGTAGATTTAATTTTTGATATATTACATTATTAATTTTTAAAAATGGATAAATATATAGCAACATTTGCCATTTTAATGGAATAAATTTTAAAACAGTTTTCATGTACTGGTTGCAGTGTGCCCACCTATGATCCCAGCACTTGGGAGCCTGATGTAGGAGGCTGCTATGAGTTTAAGACTAGCCTATCTCATAAACAAAAGCAAAAGAGGACGAAATAAGATAAATACTTTGGGATGAAAAAAGACCAATTGAAGAGACCTCTTACATGGACAAGCTGAAAATGAGCAGCAGCTCACTCACTGTCTCAGGAGGGGAGGCTCCATCTGCAGCCAGGTGCCCTGTGCTGCCCGGGGACACCTGAGTGCCTCAGCAGCAACTTCCCAGAGGTGCTGCTCTGTACTCATCGCCACAGGGAGACAGCACTCAGCCTCTCGTCAGGCAGGTTATCTAGGCGTGTTCTGGGTCTCAAGTGCCTGGGAAACTGAGCCCAGTGAATGGCAGCTAAATGGAAATCAGGAAAGAGGACAAGAAAGATGTGACATAAACTCAGCTGAGGGAGGCCTAGGTGAGCGGGAGAGGGAGCCCAGAGCCCCGAGCTTCTATATGACCTGGTCCCTGTTCAAGGGGAGTTTGTGCCTTTAAACCAGAGCGTAAAAACGGCACTGAGATTAGTTTTCTTACAAAGGGGCTTTTGCTGTTTCCAGTCTCAAAAGATTCCCTTTGCTCTCTCCACCCCCTGAGCCCAGGGGGCTAAGGCTCGGAGTAAAGACCCTTCTGTAAGCGGAGTTGGCCTCTCTCCTACCGGCTCGGTTCTTCTGGGACCTTGACAGTGTGTGTCTGGCTTTTTGTGGCATGTGATAGTGGTACTCCTTGGTTTCTTTAACTTCTCCACGGAGGGATATTTGTTACAATTTCGCCCCCTTACCTTCCTAGCATGGTGCTTAGCATACTCACATAGTTTGTACTCAGCAGCTTTTATAGAATCCCTTGGAGACTGATTTCAGAATATTTGTGTCCTCTTAATATCACCGGGCCTCTACCCCGCGGTGTTGAGAAAGCTCTGCAGATGAACTCTGATGAGCACAGATGTTCTCTTTTGTTGTTTTATTACTCAAATTGTTGATTGCCACTGAAAACCTTTAGCTGAGACTTCCCTGGTTCAAAATTTCCTGATGTCATAATCTTTGTGTTTTCGGCTGAAAATAGTAAAAGCTAACAATTCCTGAGAACATGCCAAGTTCTGTCTTAAGTATGCTGGCCATACATGGTCTCCTGTATGTAACTCTCACATCAAATCCACGAGGAAGGGACCCTGATTATCTATCTCACGTGGGGAGGAGAATGGAGGCTTGGAAAAATCTCATGACTTGTGCACCCAAACATACAGTTGGTAAGTAGCAGAGCAGCGCTCCAACCCAGATACCAGCCCAGACACTGGGAGAGTCCAGACACTAAGGGACTCCCATTTGCAGCACCTGCTGTGGGAAGTCACTAATATCAAGAGATACATCAGCAAAATGCAAAGCCAGACCAGCCCTCCAGTGTTATTCCTGTCCTCCAGTGCTGTCAATTTAGGTAAGAGAATGGCCTGTTTGTTATAATACATGGTAAGCTTCAACAAGAATGAAATTACAGGTGGACATGGTGGCACATGACTATAATCCCATCACTCGGAAGGCTGAGGCAGGAGAATCACCTGGGCTACATAGTGAGTTCAAGGCCAGCCTGAACTACATACCAAGACCCTGTCTCAAAAACAAAAACAACAACAATAAAAACAATAAAATCATAAAGCTGCTCATAATACAATTTGAAAGGAATTTTTACAACCTAAACTTCTTAACTGAATGACTTTTTCCCAGATATAATGATGTGCAATTGAAAACAGACCAGGATTAAAGGACACATACTAGGAAAAAATTCTACCTTAAAAAAAAAAGTCTTACTTTATAATTTCTGATGCAAGAAGCTGTTGAGCTACAAAGCCTTCAAGGTCCCCATTGAAGCTTTAAGGAAACAGTGCTTGCACTACACTTCGGGGCAAACACTGGTCCCCCCTGCAGTGTTGTAATTAGTCTGTTTACTCCGAACACTCAGGGCAGAGTTTACAGGCTGCTGACTAAAGCCTCATTCACTTAAGTGCTGTGCCTCTCTCCACGAGAGATGTCAATTACGGCTTTGTAAATTGTGCCAGCTTCTCAGCAGAACAGCAGGCCTCTGTCCATGTGGACACCAGATGTGTCACATAACCTAAAGCAGAGGTGTTTGTGAGAGTAAGCTCCCAACAACAACCACAAAAGTCAGCCTTTAGGTAGCTTAATGAGTTTTCATGTTACAGATTTAGGTTCCTGCATCTTTCATGTGAGCAGAGTTCAGGATCCCCCCAGCAGGTACTGTGCTGGTCAGCTCTCTGTTACTATAACAAATGCCTGAGACAAGTCAGCTCATTAGGAGGAGAGGTTTATTTTGCCTAAGTTTCAGTCTGTGATCAATTGGCCTACTGCTTTTGGGGCTGTGGCGGAGGTGCTATCATGGTGGAGCACGGTCCAGAGGCGCTGCTTACCTTGAGACATCCGGGGATCAGGGCGGAGGAAGAGGAGGGCTGAGGTCCTAGCATGAAGATGATGACCTCAGTGCCCTCACTTTTTTCTACTAGGCCACAACTCCAGAAGGTTCTGTCACCTCCACAGCCTCTCAGGCTGGGGACTGACCTTCTACACAGAGGCCTTTGGTGGACATGTATTACCCTACTGATGGCAGTACCAAAATCTAGTTAGATGATAAGAATAAATGCTAGCATTTTACAGCACAGCAGAGTGATGCTAGTAAACAGCAATTTATTATATATTTTTCAAAGAATAGGATTTCAAAGAATAGCAGAAAGGATTTTGAAGGGATCCAACTCCATGAAGTGATAAATGCTTAAAGAGGCAGACATGCTAATTACCCTCATTTTGTGATTACGCATTATTTACAAGTATTGAATTATCAAACTCCATCCATAAATACGGGCAGTTGAAAATGAAAAAGTGGTGGGAAAAATCATGGCACTTAAGAAAAATATTAATCCTTATTAAGTTCCATGACTTGTATGTAACTTTCTAAATTGTTCCTTTTTTAAGTGTTAAAGGAAATAGCTTTAGCTATTCAAAATCACATTACTTGTGAAGATACTTTTTCTTTGAAACATGGATCTCTTAGTGGCTCAGGTTGGCCTTGAGCTCACTATGTAGTCCAGACTGGCCTTGAACTCTTGGCGAGCCTCCTGCCTCAGCCTCCTGAGTGTTGTAGATTACAGGCATGCACCATCATGCCCAACACTTTTTTAAAATTATTATTTTATTTTTCACTTTTTGAAGCCAAGACCTCACACATGCTAGGCAAGTGCTTTACCATTGAGCTACATTCCCAGCACAAAAATACTTTAAAAATTACTTTTGATATAAAAAGTAAATTTTAAAAATGTTGTTTAGCCCAGGATTTAAATCCCAGGAATGGAAAAGGAATCATCAATTCGGGATTACCACTGCATGTTAACCCAAAGTTAACACTCCACCCTGTGGAGTGTACTTCTTTTCCGACTTTTAATTGGCCCTCCCACACCATGTTTCTTTTCTTACTTTTAAAAATTGTAAAACGTTGCTGCCCTTTGCACTTGTTTTGCCCAATCCTTTGCTCAGCACAAGGAGGAACTAGGAAGAATCTATTAGTAGAAAGAAAGAAAAGAAACCAAGGCATGTGCTCCACAGGTCAGCTTTATTCCAGAACAAACCTGAGCGGCTGCTCTGGCCCCAAGACACACAGCTGGGGGGTCTTTTATAGGGTCATGGGGAGCTCAGTAGAAGAGGACTGTGGCTGCCTGCCAAGGTCGGGGCCTGAGAAAGGGCAATGGCTGCCCCAGGCGAGGCTTGGGAACATGCAGGGCGAAGTGCACTATCAGAGCCCCTGATAGTGCTGTGAGTCACTGGGTGCAGCTGTGTGGCGGGGCGGGCTCTGGAGTGGCCTCTGCAGGAGGGTGGGTGACTTCCTCTAGAGTCTGCAGGAGGAGTCCCCAGACGGTCGCTGTACACTGCACAATGGCCCGGCCAGCTCAACAGAAAGTTACAGTGTGGTGCCGGAAGTCTGAGTGAGTTTGCAAGGGGTCAGTTCCATCTCAGGACTGTGAGGGAAGAACTCACAGCTGCTCTTCTTGGCTTTAAGTGGCGTCTTCGTGTGATCTTGCCTCCCTCTCCATGTTTAAATCTTCCCTTTTAGCTGGGCATGGTGGCCTTGCCTGTAATCTAGGCATTTTTTCTTTTATTTTCTTTTATTTATTTTATTTATTTTTGGTACTGGGGATTGAACTCAGGACCTTGCACTTTCGAGGCCAGCGACAGAACCACTGAGCTAAATCCCCAGCCCGATCTAGGCATTTTAAATATTGAGGCAGGAGCTTTGCCACCAGTTTGAGACCAGACTGGGTTACACAGTGACACGCTGTCTAAAACCCCCAAAATATAAAGTCATCTTTCCTTGTAGGGACACTAGCTGTAGTAGAGTAAAGCTCATACCAATAACAGCGCTAACTTGCTTCCCTCTGTAAAAATAGCATCATCAAACATTCCAAAGCACTATGGCCTGAGGCTTCAACATGGGCATTTTTGGGAGGAAAAGGCACATTCGAAGACAGCAGTGCTCATGCAGGTCTGCTTTACACCGGACACAACCACTCACATCTTCTGTAGGTGTCATAGTCATTTCTGAAACTGCCTCAAAGGAAGCAGCCAGGTGCAAGCTTCCGAGGAGCTGAGAGGACCTTCTGCGGCAGGTCCTCGAGTGGCCATAGAAGACCCATTTGAAGCACCTGTTCCTCACCCTCCCAAGAAGAGGTGGAAAATGGAACTTTCTCCTTGGAGAAATCAGAGAGAGCCAGGAACACTGCAGTTATTGCTGCACAAAGTGAAGAAAACCTCCGAGTGACAAATCCGATCTCAGGCTGGTTAGGACTCTGCAGGGGAGAGGTCGGGGCTGAGGGGCGACCGTTTTCCTGTCCACTGGGAGAGCCACAGTCCCACCCTGGGGCAGCCTGGGCTGCACCCTCTTGGCCCGCCTTCAGCACACAGAGCAGCTCCCAGGTACGGCGCACAGAGCCTTTAGGTGGTTACCCTGGATTTCCAGCAGTTAAATTGCTAGGTGTTCACACAGTGTGTTATTTGCTCTACAGCACTTTATCTGTGTTTATAAACCATGTACTTAATGTTCCTGCCAACTTCAGTGTAGAGTAATTGAAATTAAAAAAAAAGAAAAAAAAGCAAGTGTCAAATCTGAAGTTCCCATCTATAAAACAAAAAGAAAAACCAGCCAAATTTCTAAGCTAACTGCTGCTCCATCTGGATCTGTAGTTTTAAAAACAAAATCAAGACAAGGAATGTCTTCTAATTACAAAGGAGTTTTGTACAATTGACAGAATGTAACTATAAATTCATTCATGTTTCCTTATCATGTTATCTTATATATACTCTATCATCTATGCATGTGAACAATAAGAATTCATCTATAATTGCACTATGATAAGGTTTAAGAAAGCTTTAAGTTTATTTGACCTATGAATTTTCAACTTGCACAGTGAAAATCTACATAAAGCTAGAAGTTGATTGGCTGGGCGTGGTGATGCACACCTGTAGTCCAGCACTTGGGAGGCAAAGGCCAGAGGATCCCTGTGAGTTAGAGACTAGCCTGGGGTACATAGTGAGTTCAAGGCCAGCCTGAACTACAAAGGGAGACCCTTTGTAGTTCCTTTTCAAACAAACAAAAAAAAGCCCCAAACACCCGCATAAAAACTAGAAGTTGGTGCCCAATGTTCTATTGTCTTCAGGATCATGAATAAGATCATGTTATTCCCATTCAGACATGCTTCTTTTAACTTCCTTCATTTTCTAAGTGGGGCTCAGTGATTTTGTTAATTACGGTTTACACAATCAGGACTCCAACTCGATCTATTTTATTTTTCAGTCTTTAATCTTCTTGTTAGCGTTTTGGAATCTTTTTTGTATATATGTATATTTTTTCTTCATGCTTTATTTTTATATGAGTCAGAAGAGGTAGCAGCAATTTATATGCCTTATGGTCTCTGTTTTCATACTTCTCTAATGCTAATCCCTTCAAAGAATTTCTGTAGCTCTCCTGGCCTGTTAGCCACTCTAGGAGCTGTCTGACCTACATTGTAAGCTTCTCCAGGCAGGGATCTTGTCACAGTGCTTTATAGTGTATTCTAGGTGCTCCTTACCAGACTCTGAGCAATCAGAATATGCAGACCAGTGTGATGAGAACATGAGTCTGGGAACCATAGTGTACATGACAGGTAATGTTCTGCACCTAGTGACGGTGCACTGGAGCCTCAAAGACAGTCCAAGGTAGGGAAAACTGTTAAAAGCAAACAGTGGAAAGAGAGCTATTAACAGGCCACAGAAGCCCAGTCTGTTGTGATATGGCTACCGATTAGTCCCAAGAAGTTGAGGACATTTGCAGGCCTGGAGAAGACAGGTGTGTCAGACAGGCTAAGCAAGAAAGTAAGAAAGCCCCCTTCTGCTCCGGAAACTGGAAAAGAAAAACTGAAAGTCAGTGAAGGCTTGGAAAGTGTAGTGGCAATGTGCTACCCTAATCGGAAAATGCTCTGACCTGTGACCCAAATGAACTTCTTTCCAGGCTCGAGATTGCTGCAGCTGCAATCACCATGACTTTGAGAGCTGGGGAAGTGACAAAGTAGAAACAGAGATTAGAGGCCCTCCTGGTGTGCCAGAGCACTTCTGGTCACTTCCCCACCAGTTTTATTAAATCAACTGGAGGACCATCCTCAAAACCCTTATTGGGGGTTGGTTGTGGTGACATACACTAACAATCCCAGATACGTGGGTGACTGAGGCCAGAAGATCCATAAGTTTAAAGCCAGCCTGGGCAACTTAGCCAACACTTGTCTCAAAAAATAAAAAGGGATTAGGGACGCACCTCAGTGGTAGAGCACTGGCCTAGCATGCAAGAGGCCCTGGCTTCAATCCCTGGTACTGGAACAACAACAAAAATCTTTAGTAATTATCTAGCAGACTAAATTTATAACTAACCATCCCTCCCTCGAAAAACAAAATAAGATAAATGAATAGAAGATAAAGGTTAAGAAATTGAAAAAATAATAATGTTCAGAAGAGGAATCGAGGCCTCCCCAGGACTTGTGGATTCTGACACTTCTGGCGACTGTCTTTGGGCAGGGCCGAGGCACCCTTGGGTGTTGCGATGGAGGCAGCTCCAGATGTAGCAGGGGTGTGGGCAGCTTATGGGAGGGGGCTGTCTGACCCCTCCCCAAAGGACAGTGTGCACCAGTCAGCTGAGAGGCTCTCCAGAGGGACATGTGGCCTGCAGGGAGATGCAGGCTGGGAAGAGCCTTCTGTGGGGAGTGAAGGGCTAGGGTGAGGCTTGCCAAGTCTTCAGCTGCTTCCCAGGACAGCCTGAAATAAAATCTAGTACAAAGGATCCAAGGGTTGGGGATTTAGCTCAGTGGTCCTGCTGCCGGCCTCGCAAACACAAGGTCCCGAGTTCGATAACCGGAACCCCCCCCCCCAAAAGGATGCAGAATATGTCCAGGAATCTGCTGGAAAATGTGTTTTGGGGGGAGAAGCTCACTTAATTTCAATGAGGACAAAATGAGCTTTAGTATTAAAATTGAAATAAAGATTAAAACCAAGAAAGTCCTGATTTAATATGTTTATTGTCTTTGTATATATCCTACTTGTGATTTAAAAATGTCCTTAATCAGTTCATCAGGAAATGTACACTCTGTAGCACTTCTGTTATTTCTGATTCAGTGTTGTGTGTAATCACGGGAACACTGAGATCATCAGACAAAGGGATAGATTGCCTGCCCTGGAATCAGGCTTTGTCCTCTTATATGCAATATGGCCAGCTTTGTCTCATTTTGTTACATATTCTATTTTTCATAAAATGAGCAACAAAACACACAACTCTGCTGGTATTACTTTATGTCTTTTCAACTGTCATTTAAAATTCCATTAACTATTACACTTTCTTTTATTATTTTATTTTTTGAGACAAGGTTCTTGCTATGTAGTTCAGGCTGGCCTTGAACTCACTATGTAGCCCAGGCTGGTCTTGAACTTGCAATAGTCCTCCTGCCTCAGACTCCTTAGTGCTGGGATTACAGGTGATTACATCATGTACCACCATGCCCAGCTCAAGATTGGTTATTTCCATTCCAAAACCTTTTCAAAATTTATATATTTGGTAGGTAAGCTGTTTTTGTTATTTAAAGCTAGTGCCTTCATAGATGCTTCTGAAAGAACCATGTGTTTATCACACAGCTTTCTTCTTTTCTTTGTGAGCGCCTGTTTTTAGATCAGGAGGAGTTTAGAAAATTCAAAGCCTGGGAATTTAAACAACACAAGGAGGTTTGACGTGTTGAAATGATACTTATTGGTAGGATCATCACCTTTGAGCTAAAGGAGTATGTAGATGTTTATATATAAATATATATGCATGCACATGTGATCACAAAAATTGTCTTCCTTATCCAATTAGCATTTCTTTTTAATTCCTTTTGTGACTGTATTGTGACCCTGACCATACTTTTCTTCCCAGAGTTTTGTGGAGAAGAATGAGTGTAAGAATTGAGGAGGAAGTTGTGGGGGCCGAGTTTGGTGATGGATTCTGGGGTAAACCCAGGGTTTGCCTTGCAGTTCCTCAGCTGTGCAGAAGCAGCAAAGTCCCTATATTAGCTGGAAGACTGATAGCTAGACCTCAGCTGGAGCCCAGATGATGGAAATCCACCGTCACCTGGGACTGGAACTCTTCTTGCCCAAGCTCACTGTGTGGAAGGAATTCATTCATTTATAAACTATTTCAAGTGAGATTTAATTTCCCCCTTCCACAGTTCCTCTAAAACTATTCTTTTAAAGGTTACAAGTCATTGATATTCTTTTTTTTTCGGTACCAGGGATTGAACGCAGGTCCTTGTGCTTGCAAAGCAGCTGCCGAAAACACTGAGCTAAATTCCTGGCCCAAGTCATCGATATTCTTGTTGTCAAACACAATAAACACTTGTCAGACAATATCTTGTCTGTTCACCAGCTGTCAATGCTG